CCCGGCTACGGTCTTGCACTCAAACGTTGTAGCTAAAGTAGTCGCAAAAATGTGAATTATACGACATGGATAAAGAGTGAAAATATTGTAAAAGTAGCTGTACAAATAAGCTGTCAATAAACGAAAAAATTAAATGTAGGTAAACTTATTACAGGTAAATATTATAACTTATAACTCGTATGAGTTTAGTCTTTGCTACATATGAAACACTGTATAGAATTATACATACTTGGGTACCATGTAATCTGAAAATTGACAAAATATGCAACAAAATAACATACCTAAACTTGTACTACGTATAACACAGGTAATATTTTTAATCACATCCATTATCCAATAATGTACGTATAGCATTGTGTGTACCATAGTATCGTCGTAGAACGACCAGAAAAACATGCAAACTCATTTAAATAATGGCTTTATATGACTGTATACAATACTACCTATAATAGCTGCATATTCTCTTCGTCTATCTTCAAATCGAAAACCGACTTTTTCATGATGATATTATAATACAGTTATATTGCACACGGTTCGCGGTTTCCTCTTCGATCCGACAAATCGACTTTGGCAATCTCCACTTTTTAGATTTGCAATCGCGACGTCATTTATACATTATGTATATACATATACAATATGCTCGGGAGTTGGTAGGGTTCGCGCCGGATACTGCGGGTGAACCGTTTTATCGCCAAACGCAAACGTCTCAATAATCGCATAATAAAACGGACGGATTTTTCGAGATCGTAAACCGCTGTCTGCTAGTCGGAAATAACACGATAATAATTGTTATTCGGCGTTGCGACCGGCGGAGGAAATTATGCACGATCGATCGTATACATTTTTCGTTCCGAAATCGGTGTGTAATCGCGTAGGTATATCAGGGGTGGCCAAACTTTTTTTGGTCACGATCTACTAAAAATATACTTCACCATTAAGGATCGACTTTCATAGAAAATTTTTTTAATCATACAGATAAAACTCATTGACAATTTGTTTACTACAACCTCGATTAATTTTCGTACGCGTGTCCCTAAAAATAAATTCTAACATGATTGACTTTGAAATTGTCCGCGTTCGAATTTATGGCCACCCCTGCCGTATATTATTTAGAAATTTATCGGAATCCCCGGTTTTGAAATCTCGACAGTTTTGATGACTCAGTGTCGAATGCACCGAATTAATGCAGCGGTAGTAACCGCCGATTTGTACAAACAATGCGATTACGGTAGACCAGAGACCACTACAGTATACAGCCGTATAGGTATAATCAATCGCTGTTTGTGCAAAAAAAAAACACTCGATAATAGTGTAAAATATACAAACACGACGAGATTGACCCTCAGGCGAGGTGACGGACGGTGTCGTCGACGTATAAATATTATGTACATCAAATTATTATTATTATTATGTAATAATATATACAAAAGGCGCTCGGGATCATCTGTATTATAGAGTGGCTCGGTCGTTTGTCGTCGTCGCGTAGGTATCCCTTTTATCTACGTTATAATATAATATTATTGATATAATAACCCGCTCCGTCGTCTCGGACGATTAATCGTACATAATATAGTAGATAATATTTATACATATATAATATATATATATTTATATGTATACATTATCATATACAGGTGTCGATCGAGTATATTATATATTAGATAGTATATATATACGTGTAACATGCAATATACATATATATGTGTAAGAGGGGCATTGCGAGCGAGCGAGTGTGTGTGTGTGTGCGCTCGTATATATGTTTCTATTTAAGTCTGTCCGCCTTTTCTTCGTGTGGTATAGGTAGCCAGGTATATAGGTACATGTGTATAGTTTTTTTTTCATTTATTCGTTTTTTTTTCTCTCCACCATGTAGTAATAATTAGCGGCGCCCGTCGTGAACGCGTCTTAGTACCTCCAAGATAATGCTACCGGTGCCCAACAATAGAAGAAAACCAATTTTCGATGGCCGATTGAGTGTGTGTGTGTGTAATCTCTCCCTCCCTCTCTGTCTCACTCTGTCTGTCTGTCTGTCTCTCTCTCTCTCTCTCTTCTGTTCTGTGTGTATATTATAATACACGTCGAGCTCTCCTCACGTTGTATATTGAAGTCGACCGCCGCCGCCGCCGACCGAACACTGGCGCCGCCACGCCGGACAACAAAATAATATTAATATTATATATATCATCTTAATTGTGTGACGACGAAAACATAATATTATACGATGATTCGAACTTTTTCCGTCGCTATATATTGTACCTACGTTATGATTAGGTATATTTAAATATATATTACACGGAGGCACTGCATCTGTATAATGAGGTCAATTATTATAAAGTTTGTGTACGAAATCACGCGTAAGTAGGCAGTAGACACCTGCAGATTTCGGTGCAAAAAGTCGTTGAGATAAAAATTTACCTCTTATTAAGTATTTTACGACACAAAATATAGATCACCCAACTTAGTCATGCGTGTGATCGTGGTCTTTTAAAATAAAATAAAAATATTTCGTCGCATCGTGAGCTGCAGTATTATAGTAAGGTACATAATATGTTACTGTTAAATGTGATAATACAGCTTTTAAGATGATAACCAGTTACCTAGTATAGGTAGTATCTACCTAACTAAAATTGTTAGTTAGCTTAAAAACCTAAATTTATATTTTATCACTTCGCCTATAGTTCTTTTTCGTAATATCCAATGGAATGGCAATATGATAAATGTAAAGAAATGTAACACTAACAGGTTATTATATGCAATACACATATCTACCTACTAATTGGATTTATCAAATTAACAATTATAATCATTAATAACATATACGACATGCGGTACCTACAGTAGGAGCGTTTTCGGGATGTATCGTGCAATAAAGGTCTGCAAGGGCATATAACTGTGTTTCATTATAAAGTTTATTAATGAGTACCACACTTATAAATTATAATGCAGTTATTATTTATTAGTTTTGCTGATAAATTTTAATTTAGTGAACCTTGCCACCGGGCACAGATATGAGGATTTAAGGTCCGATCGCCTATGACGTATTTCACCCGGTGGTTACAAATGTAAAAACTTCAACTATATTATTAACAGTTGAGACGAATGGGGAGGATTGACAATATTTGCATAATTCATTCCGTCCGTGGAAGGAAGCGAATTGAATTTGTCATTTGTTAATCGTTTGCCTTGACTGCAATACATCTCACGCCATTACGAGAAAATCGCATTAATAATTGTTCCTGTTTCTCGGCGATTATAATTATTCTCTTACGCGGTTGTAATTTTCCTGCACCTCTTTTTTTTTCTCTAGGCAAGCAAAGGTATAAAATTATTATCATCCAAAAAATGTGTATTTTTCGTAATTACATTTTTCAATATATATAGTCATAATTGTGACTTTGTTTTTTGACTTCATTGTTCCCCGCGAAATTGGCAATCAAAATAGAAGGCGGAGGACGAGTGAAAGTGACTTCTTGGCAAATTGTTTTGGTCCGCGGTGGTATTTTTCTTGGTTAACGAACTACCTACATAACATGTGCAATGTTTAAGCTTTATATATATAAAATAAATAATATAGTCTTCTATGTGGTGTGCACATACCACCATGGTAAACATTATGAAGGTGGCTAAGAGATGCGGATACTTGCTGCCCCAACATCGATCGGGTTTCGATAAACGCTGAACATCGATTAAATCAGTATATATGTATACTGTAATGTGCGTCGTTAACGAAAACATTATTTTTTTTTTGCGATATGATTGTACAATATTATTATTACAATCACCTTTACAAATGTGTATGGTTCAACGTAAACCAGCTTTTTGGAAAATTAATTCTATAATATGATTTTAAAAGTCAATTAACAGGCGACGCTGTGATAACAATAAAAAAATGACTTAAAAAACTAAATGACTTATAATAAATAACTCGTTAGAAATAACATTTCCCATTAATGCCATTTATCAAATTATATTCTTCATATTTTTATTAAATTAAAAAAGCGGACATTTTGATGAGTTTCAAGACAGATCACTGCAGTCGATCATGGAAACTCGGTGACCCCTGATATAGCTTATAGATACCGAAAATCTATAAATACCTATAATATAATGAGATGTTTAATAGTTTTTAAATAAATTATTTTATGTTGTTGTTAATAACCTAATTTGAAACTTTGCAGGCGAAGCGATACATTTGGCCAGAGACTTTGGGTACGTATGTGAAACAGAATTCCCAGCACGACAAGTGGCGGAATACTTGAGCAGGCCACACACGAGTGATCCGACAGAGTCGTACCGAAGAAAAGAGCTTATACATGCCACAAAGTGAGTACCTATACCAATCCAATTCATTTAATTAATAGTATTTAATTCATCGCCGTTTTTTGACCACCTATCGTAAGAAATCCGTTACAATCAATAATTGGAAGCAAAATTCTCAAATCATTGAATTAGGTACCTACTGTGATAAGAACTGTATAACCTCGTGAATCTGCAAAATATACATAACAGCCAAAGAAGGAAGCCAAAAATTCGGTGATAACGATAACATTCCGTTCCAAAGACTAATGGGTATATAGGTTTTTTAGAAACGTTTCTATAATACTTTCAATTTTGATTTTTGAAACAATAAAAGTTGTAAATCCACAAAAATGTACTATTATTATTTTAGTCGAATATTTTTTAGTTTTGTCATTTCAATAATATTATGTACAACAATTCCCTCGAGGTAGGACTTTTTTCGAATTCATTTTCAATTCTCTTATTGTTAATGTTTATCACCAGACACGATATAATATTATGAAAACAACATTTAGGTAATATTTTATATTTAGCTATAATAGTACTAAACAGACCAAAATTTCAAATTTCAAAAGTGAAGGCGCCTAATGGGGCAGTGGTTCTAAGTCTGTAAAAATAAAAATCGAACACTGTGCAAAATGTAATTTCTATTAATTTTTGCGCACACTGTGTATGTTATAAATACCTATATAGTTATATACTATAATAATATACGCCGATCGGAAATGCATAATAATATGTTTTTATTTTTTTTCGCAGACAAGTGACCAAAGAGCTGATGGACCTGCTCAACCAAGACCGTTCGCCGCTGTGCAACACCAGGCCGCAGCACATTCTCGACCCTATCATACAGCGCCCGCTCACACACTTTTCGCTCATATCGCACGGATTCGGCAGTCCCGCGATCGTAGCCGCACTAACGGCAATACAGGTAACTTTTTATTACATTTTAACGTTATTATTATAGTTAATTAGACCATCCCGAAGGGCCTTGTCTCCCCATTGTCCATACAAGCCAGTCATTATTTTCTTTATAATAATATATAGACTTTTTGTCGTCTACGTTCGTATCGTCTTTTTCACTCGGTGATTCTCAACCTGGCAGAGTTTGGCACCCTTGTATGTTTTTGAAAAGTTTCGGACACCCTACAGTAATAATATCGAATATATATAGCGTTTAATAATATTGTAAATTAATTCCCGTCACACTTCGAAAATTATAAAATAAAAAGGTAAAGCTTAAGGTAAATGTACGCAGATATTTATAGACAAATCTTCTACTCTATACATATGCTTTTCAAAACTTCGTGACACCTCCAGCACAAGTTTGCGCTGCGCCCCTGCAGTCGAGAATCACTGCCCTTAACGCATTACATCACGAGCCTACACGACCACGTTTATTCATACTTTTTCTCGTCGTTTCCGCAGAACTTCCTCTCAGAATCGTTGAAGCACTTGGACAAGGTGTACCCGTCCGGCAACAGTCTGTCGTCTCAGCAACAGCAACAGAACAACCAGCTGCAGCAACAGGACCAGAAGCCCAAAGACTTGGTCGGACTGGAGCTGAAGAAGTGAGCCTGGTCGAGGCGGGCGCATCGCGAACCTGCCGGCGGCCCGCAACAGCACCAGCCGCAACCACCGAACCACCAGACTAGGCTGCAGCCGCAACACTCGTACGGCGGCAACCGCGACGATCGCTGTCAGTGATCGACGGCGATCGCGCGCACAGCGTATTAATTATAAAAAAAATAATAATAATAATAATAATATTATTATGTACAATAATTAATATCGGTCTTCCGCCGCCGCCGTGATTTTTAAGTTTTCTGTTTTATTTTCTCATCCCGTGCTCGATACGAGAGATCTAAAACTACTTTTTTTCGTCGGCGCGCGCTCGACTGTTTTAAATAATATTTAAGCAAAAAATATAAAAAAAATAATAACAAAAAAATTGACAAATTTACAATGTTGTATATTAATATTATTATTATTATTATATAGTGATATTACGATGTGCAGTATAAGTTTTATTAGAATATTGTATTGTGCGATATAATATAACGGTACTTGTAAATAATACGATGATGTATTATAATATATATTATATTTTTTTCGGACAATCGGAATTTTTTTTTTTTATTATTATTATTTTTATTTACATGCATAGTTTACGCATTAGGACTTATGCGCGCGTATGTGCGTAAGTGCGTGTTTTTTTAATTTTTATTTATTTATTCTCGTTTTTAGATTATATTTTTTACGTTTTCGAAACTTGTACAAATCTAGAATGATTTCCCGCCCCTTCATGTGCCATCCGTATAATTACCGCGAAACCCTCTCGATTCGTTGATAAGAAAATATTATAATTAATATCAAAACATATATAATTAATGATTATTGTATATTATAATTTGTGTCGTCGTCGCGACTTGTGTTTTATTTTTAATTAATTTCTTAATTATTTATTATTATTATTATTATTATTATCTTGTACGCAAGAACGTTACACGACAAAATATATTATGATTGTGACGTCATCAAGACAAAGAATCAAAATGAAACGTTAAATTAGAAAAAATCAAATTTAGTTCGTAGTAGAATTGACTCGTCCCACGATATCATTGCCATATTATTATTATTATTTGCTCAGGATCATGAAGCGATATTCGTTATTATATTATATGTTATGCTATTATCATAATGATTCAATGATATTGTCGGTGTGTTCGTTTATGAATCGGGGACATATTAATTTTACCAGAGATGAATCATATTTTGTGTTTTAATACGTATTATATGTTTTTAGGTACCTATTATAGTGAAAATATTATTTACTGTTTGACGCTTTTTTTAAATTATAAATTTGAAACAAAAATGGTTTGATATTTGTATTATATATAATAAGAAACGTCCCTAATAATATTATGTAATATGTGTTAATGATGATGACGATATAATAATAATAATAGTAATAATGGTTCAAAGGTATCTCGTGATATTAAGTTTCGATTTGCGTACCATCCCAACGATAATAAACAATAATAATAATAATAATAATAATAATAATTTTAACTATAGTAATTGTTGTACAGCGAGTTTAATTTTATTCTTATACACGTGTAAGTATTATTATATTACATATATATATATATATATATTATAGACAAACACGCGAGTATATTATATATGTATTATAATATAACGGGACTATAATAAATGTACATAATATATTTATAAAAACGAAAAAAAAAACAAAAACAAACAATTGTATCATATTTATATTGTGTAGTTTTTCATTACAATGCTCAAAAATATTACTATAAATGTTATTAAAAAGTTGGTGTGTTTATTGTTGTGTCCATTCCGCTGTTGTCTGAACATCGTCAACACGATAGGCAGACTTATATATTTCCATCGTCCACCATCCATATCGCGCACGTGGCACATCCTTCAAAAACAATAACAAAAAGAGGACGTTTACTTGTTTACTCCAAATTGTGTTTTCTATTAAAAATTTCGGTTGGTTTTTGTTTCCTCTGCGTGTCAATTAGTTCCATAACCTTTCAATTTCTTTTTCAAAAACTTTAATATAATCAAACTTTTATACATTCGTTTGTGTCACTAATATATAGTGTGAGCGTGTCACAAGGTTCACCATCTCTGATATAATATAACAATGACTTTGGGTTTTTAAAGTACTTTAAACTTCAAATGGGAATTACAATTTGAAGATTATATGTACATAAATATAGCCCAGACACGTACGCAGGGAGGTGTTTTGAGTGTTCATAGTTACAAACATCTCAAGTAATGTTTGTGCTTTCTTACGGTTATCAATTATTACAAATACTAGGTAAGGTTGGTTAGTCAGTATAAATTTAATTCTGTGATTTTTATTTTTATTACACTTTTAATATTAGATACATCTAATGTCTATATTATAAGAAAAAAAGTATATTAGGTTTAATGAAAAAAAAATTGGTCTGGTATCATTTTCTACATTTAATTTTCAAAAACTATATGTATTCGTAAAAAATACACACCCTTTATTTCTGTGAACGTCCCACACGCGCATAGACATTAGAATATTTTAAAGCCTTTTAATAGATTAACGGGTCGCTACCTACAGAAGACAATAGTGTGGTCGTTAAAAATTAATCTTTTATTTTTTTTTTAAATAACGGAAGAGAATGTCGAGCAAACGTCATATTTAATGCTAGAAAAATAAATTGATAATACGATAATATAATATTGCTGTCTGCCGTCACTCGTCCGCGCGATGGAAGTTTGATTTCATCAAATTTGAGGGTGCCAAAGAACATTTGTGTGGCATTACCGAGCGTCACGTGAAGTCCTGAAGAGCTTCTGGTTTCACCGTCCAGCAGCCCAACCGGCGCCTGATGGCCGCCCATCGGCGTCGGTACGACGTGGCGTCCAACTTGGCCTGCGCGTAAGTGACTTCTCGGCCGTCTGCGGTTCCTCCGTCACCGGCCAACAGATGTCGACACGCGTCGAACAGCGACTTTTTGCACAGCGCCGACGAACCGGTCGCCTTTCCGTCCACCGCCTTTTTCGTCGCGCCCTGTTTTCGGCCGTTCACCAACACTTCGTGACGACTGCGACGAAACCGAGAAACCATATAGAGTTATCATTATACGTTCAGACGTTGTTGATGATATATTATCGAATTAATATTTAAAATTATAGGCTGAACTTTAATAAGCGTTAATTCGAAATCTGATTTTTGGACATTTTCGAGTATACCTATCGCCTATCACCGTGCAATGTGTAGGTATTATAAACACCGTATCTGTAAGCTGCTCTAGCACAATAGAATACTATTATAATTGAATAGATACTTGGATTTTTTTCAAACTAATAAGGTCGGGTGGATTGAGTGTGAATCGAAAAAGCACTAAATTGTATGTTTTTTAATCACCTATGCAGATAATTGTTGAAGGCTTGAATAGCTTTAAATGTGATGAATTAAAACATACCTATAAATTATAATATAGTATATTTAGGTACCTATTATGTAACGTTTTTATTATGGAGATTATCATTGATTTGTATTTGTTTAAAACGTCCTACTAGCCCCATTCTCTAGGACAAATGCAAAATCTAGGTAATCATTTTGTTAGGTACACAAATTATATAATTTATGATATAGACATGCGGCCAGCAAATAAATTAATGAAAAAAGATACAATTTGGTTTTTGTTTCATCAAAGTATCTAAAATCTCAATGTATTTAAAATTGACGGAATATTTAAAAAATATATAATGATTTGATTTTATTGTTTGAAGTATTAACAACTATATTGAAAATAAAAACAAATTATTATTTTAAAACTATAGCGCAAGAACATACTTATACATAGTTTTACAGTACAGTCAAAATGTTTGCCAATATATTGTACCTACTGGTTATAAAAATAATACAGTTTTCACTCACCCCCCTGACACGGTCGTGCCTCCTACCCTTCCGCCACCGCTATCATCTTCCCACCAGACCACACTGGACGGACACGGCTTGCAGTCAGCGGCCATGCGATGTTTGGCATGTTGGAATTCCAAAGCAGAACGCGCCAGGCGGAGCGGTGGAATCGAAGGCGATCGAGCGTCTTCGTCGTCAGGGCAGTTGGCTCGTTCGATGACGGCCCGGCGCAAAGCCGGCTCAGAGTAAGGACAACCACCGCCAACAGTCAGCGACGACAAGTACACCGGTTCGATGAGCAGCGACAACAAACCTCCCTAAAACGAAATTTCCAGGCACTATATTATCAGGGTTCGCCGAAGACGACTTTTAAATTAAAAGTTATCACTCCTATTAAGAAGAGAGAATGGGAAGTGGTTATTTAGAATACGGTTTAGACTTTATAGGCTATGGGCTCGATGTTTTTCTTTTTCACCATACGGAATGTGAATATTTGAAATTTATTTTTAAACTTTTTCAAAAATTGACAGGTTTAAACTTATAAAGATTAGGTATATCCAGAATTCAAAATTGATAAAATAAAAATAAAAAACAAATAAATGAACATACAATAAATTTACCAACACTAATAAACGATTAGAGTACTGAAATTATTAATGTTAAAACTTAAAATGATTATAATTTGACTATATTATGAACTAGCTAAATTACCCGGCGTTGCCCAGAAAAACTACTTTTAGGTGCAAAATACTGTGGAAGCAAAGTCTTTTTAAGTATAAATTATATCATTTTTTAATGTGTAGCCAAAATATAAGCCAATGTATAGCATATATGCGTCTCAATTGAGGGCAAGTTTCTAACAACTGGCAACGGTTTAAACTGTACGGCATGATGCCGTCTGGTAATATTTACAGAAATATTACCGAATATCATGCTCACATGTCCCTTTATACCACGTATGCCACACCTTGTGAAATTTACGCTGCTTCTGAAATATACCTGAACCATTAAGTGCTATACAGAGATGCCATACATGTGATAGGACAGTGAAAATACAAAAAAACACGAACCGTCTCCCTCCACAGGCAAAGCACGGTGAGGAACCATGACACCGCAAACGTCGATGAGCTCCATGCTAACGGGATAACAACAATTATAATAAAATAATATATACAATTATAATTGTAAATATTTATGATGTTGGAATATGTCACGCGTGTCCGAACTGCTGGTAGTACGGCGAGCAAATGAAATGAATATTTGTATATGTATATTGGTGTACGCGCGATGCATGAGATTATTTTTATCGATAAACTTCTCGGACAAAAAGGACAAGTTGCAGGTAGCGGGAAACCCGCGGGCCTACATGGCCCATGAGCCAGTGCCGTGCAGCACAATAGGTATTGACTATTGGCGATGAATAATTATAATTGTTAATTACTCCACTAAAACGCAACATTTTTTAAAATCCTTTCTTAATGCACGGTGAAAATATGAGGAGAACTTCTATTTCAGATTTCAAGTTCATACGTCACGAAGTTTTTGAGTTACAGCGATCAATATCTAAGCAGTGGTATTTGGATTTTACATGTATAGATAAATAATAGCTAGGTAGTGAAATTAACCGTTATCAACAATTATGAATTCATTTTAATTTATAATGTACAGGTACGTCTTATAATTTAAAATCCAATCATTGTCTACAATACCCATTTTGTTTAGCTTTATTATTTATAAAATAAAGTATTTTTTAATAATCCTCCAGTGGGTACATGCAAAAGTTATACAACCATAGTTGTTGGCTTAACATTGCTGATTTCAGGTCAGCACAAATAAGCGCCCAACTTATGGGTGACAAATAATTTTGTAACTATAATAATTTATGTAAAAACCGATTTTTTTGACAAACATTATATATTACTTTAAAGCGGTTATACGGTCAACCATTAAATATATTAGCGTAAGAAGTGGCTTAAAAGGTTCACCATCTCCATAAAATAGCAGCTAGAAGTTGTCCTTTTCCGTTGCCACTGTGTGTGTATACTGCCTACATTGTATAGGCGTATAACTTAGAGTAAATTTGTACCTGTACGCCCGACGAGTGCCACCTCAGCAATTTGTCGCTACACGAGACGGACAACGTCCGGTCTCCTCGTCCCGGTTTGGTCCGCACAGCTCCGATCGCGTGATACGCCGCACCCGGAAGTCGAGGATCCTGCCTCGTCTCTACGCTCAGACATTTAGCTCCGGTCCGGTGTATGTCGTCGTCATCGTCGCTGTCGGTCTTGCGTCTTTTTGCTTCCGGTCCGACGCCATCGTCGTGCACGTCCGCCCTTTTGCCCCCGGTTTTCGGAAATATCGAAGCGTCACCACACGGCGTGTGACTGGAGAAAAAGTGGAAAGTCACGCCTGGTCGCAACGTCAGTGAGCATGGGCGAGCCGAATGGTTTTTCGTTCCGCAATCGTCGTCGGCAATCGCCGACCTCAGCACAAATATCGACGAACGGTCTTTGCAAGCCGCTTCGATTTCTTGGATGAAATAACGCAACAAAGCTCTGCGTGCCAAGACCTGAAATCCTCGGGTACATCAATTATATTTTATATATTATATAGTGGTTAGTTTAGGATCCCATAAGATAAGATTTTAGAGGTCAACCATTTCTATGATTGATTTACTTGGCTCTCGATAGTGCCACATTGGGTATATACATAAAAACAAATACTAATAGTTGAAAAACCAATAAATTTTCTGATAATATTAGGAGGGGGTGGACCTCACGGCTCACACTCGTTATTTTAAATCAACTACAGTTTTGGCGAGGGCTATATAATATATCCATCACCGAGTTTAACCCTATGCCATATGCATATTAATAGCAGTCTTCGTTTTTCGACTCACCTCGGCATGACTATCGTTGACCACAGTGCCTTTGCCGCATAGCTTACTAGCACCAATGCACTTGGTGCCGGTGGCCAGTGAGACGACTTTCAGCGAGCCCAAGTCGTTCTCAGCCTGTACGACGCCTGATAAAAGTGTCCACTGTTTACCAGACAACGGTTTTCCCTTGTCCGGCAGCCGATCGAATTTCTCCAGACACAGCCCGGCTATCCGGTCAGCGAAGTCTTCGGGCAGCTGTGGAACGAAAACGCATATCATAATATCATATTATTATAATATACTGTTACGTATTATTTGTTCAGAAATAGTACAGTGTACAGACACTATGCATACTAATAAACTGAAAAAATTTTATAGTTCTAAAATTCTATAATGAAAACAGATACCTAAATCAATAAATTAATTTGATTTGTTAGCTCATGTTCTTATAGTACATTATATAGGTTGTACCGATAAGTAAGTGATTGTATAGACGCAATAAGTGTTTTGTTAAACACATACAAGGTGTAACAAAATTATTTTACTTTAAAAACAGATATAATATATAGACTAAAAAGTTAGACTATATAGGTACCTAGACTATATTTTTCGTAAATTTATTTTTGGATATTCTATAGCCCGTCAAACAATATCCTCCGTACAAGTTAGTACCTATAGAAGTTACACTATAATATAAATTAATATAAATTATTCAATGACAATTAGTGTTTATTAAATAAAATTTAACCTTAATATTGTGATTCTAGATTTGAGTTTACATATGTTGTATGTAATATTGTAATTTGTAACTATAAACATAATATAGAAAAATCATTGCAGGTTAACTTATGTTTTCGAATGTATAAAATATAAATTGTGTATAATATGGTGCACATATTTATAACAGGTAGCATGTTAAGATGTGTAAATTATTTATAAAAAGTATTATTCCGTGTTATATAATTTAAAGATAAGTATAAAGTTTGGGAATTCTCGATGGTTTTTACTAAAGAGCATTAATAATATTATTAAGACTCTCTACTTTTGACGATATTTAAAATGTTTAAGCGAGATGTGAGCCAGAGAGGAGGTTTCATGACAATTAATCATTGATATTAAACTAATATGTTTAATATCTATGCAATTAATATGAATACATGATCAAAAGTTGTTGATTACACAACGACAACGGCTGGCATAGTCCATAGATAGCACAATTCGAACACGTTCAACCATCCGAATTTAATATACCTACCTTCCTATAATAATATGGTATTATACTATTATGATATAAATTAGTATTTAGAATCATAAAATATTCATAATAAACAATAATTAATAATATTTTACGCGCCTATCGATTATCGGCTTAAGAATGTTAACAACAAAACACTGATAACACGCTCGCGCGGTAACGTTATCGTTATCACACACAGAAAAAAGACCGAGGACGCGCCACTGAAAATTCGGAACGTTTAGAACTTTTGCCGGATCGATTTTGCATATTGAGCTTTAGTGCAAAGGCATACAGTTTGATATCGGAGGGCACCTAACTATTGAGTATACATACCATTACTGAACTGCTACGATGACTACAACAGACTGCTGGCAACGAAACACTCGTCAAATTGATCAGTCCACGAGAGGTCGAAACGCAAGTCAGGCTTTAGGTGAAGATAATCCAGAGCATAAGCAACAGCTATCGTTTTGAAGTCTTATTTTTCTAGTGGCGAACGGCAGCCATCGGAAAATCGGACAGCGAACTAGTTATACTAAATACATAATTTATAGTAAAAACAGTATAAACTGTCAAGCTGATCGCACATGTCCATCACTCTTATCATTATTTTGTGGTATTATTACTATCCAGAATCCATATATTCCGGTAGAAATAAGCGCGGACTTAGACGGACTGGCTTCGAAACAATTTCGAAGAACCTCAAGGCTCAAATATCTCATGTAGTCATATCTATTGTCTGGTGTTATGGAAGTAGGTAAGAGGGAACGTACTTGTTACCAGCGCGCATGGTGATTTAATTTTAAACTACGGACTAGGTGATGTCATGATTGTGGTGTACTTACCTATTTTAATAATTGTACTGCCATACTTAGCCGAAAGGCAGTAAGTGACAATATGTGATAAATGAGTTTATTATATGAAAATATTCGTTATTTCAATGAGTATTTTTGTTCACCTTAGCAAAAATGCCGTATTTGCAATAGATTTTATAATAAACGTGACAGTACATATTATACGTATTTTTTTAAATATACAAGGGATACCAAGCAAACAGGCAGTATCAAACATATACAAAGCAAAACGGCAGCAACTGATCACATTATACTGTAATTATCCTTAGTATGACGTACGGTATTTTCCCTAGGTATTTATAAACAAAATAATTACCGTAGCTGACAACTATATAGCATTTATTATTGTCGCAGAACGTAGAAAAGTTTAATAAACTGTCAGGTTTACCATGGCTATAATAATTATAGTAATGCAATCCATGAAATATTAATGTTATATTTTTTCAAAACTTTGGAGCATATTATGGTGGTACAAGCCTACTCACCACTTTCGATGTGTCATGCCTGTAAATGACAGTACTTGTTTAGATTTTGTTATTTACAAATATTGTACATTGTACATTATTATTACCTATTTATTAAGTTTCATTATCACGATTTTTGATTTAAATATTTAATACGATTTGATAAACTAAACAGTAAACACGTTATAAGCATAATATATATCATGAGAAAGTTCATCAAGTTTATATTACCTATAACATACAAAATACAAATGATTAATGACGTTGAATGTCAATTTATTATATTACTAATTTTATTTATTTTATTATTGTTGAATTAATATCTGATTGGTCGATTCAAATTTGCCGCGGTTTTAAGTTAAGGCAAAAATTGTTAGATGGCAATCATGATACACGTATCATCTTTAAAGAACACTATTCTTTGCTCATTGCTTGTTCACGATTACACAGCGGCTATTCCAAACTTCCATCAAGAATACCCCCCCCCCCCCCCCGTGGTTACTTGGACCTCATTTCACTATTTTTGTGATCACAAACCTATTTGAGATCCACTGAAATAATTCTTATTTGTTTTTATGCCAGTCCATTATTACCTGTTGATAACACACAGATAACGATTTGTTTATACTTTATGTTTATTTAAGTTATTAATTATTGTTTTTGAAATGGTAAAGTTGTATATGTTTTTTAAATTTGTTATGTTTAATACTTTGTGTTCATCCTCGTATTTATGTTATTTTTGTTGTTGTTGCGTAGGGTTCGGAGAGCCCAAAAACGGTCACCAACGAAGAAACGTTTGATGAGAACAGTTTGGCTGAGGCCAATGCCAAAGAACAGTACAAAGAAATGAAAAGAAAATTGAGACTTTTGGTCTATGTGTGTGCCTTACAGTATCACCTCATTGTTCACACATTTATTTATTTGTTTAATTTTGTATTTAAGGAAAATGAAATCTTTCAACAGACCCTGAAGACCACCCAACGGAAACTCCTGAGGGCTTCTCGAGATAAAAATGCTCTACTAGATAGGCTAATAAAGTATGAAATGGTGGATCTCAGTAGTAGCGATGATGAACTGACTGAATCATCGGACGAAGGCGATTCTATCAAACCAGAACCTAATAAGAAGTAACTAATCAACTTTTCTTCCGCTATACTGTTCTGTTGTATAAAATAATGTCTAATAATACACTCAATATTTATGTTTTGAAGAGTACAGATGAATGTTAGATACCTATGCATGTACAAGATGTATATCTCAACTTCTGAACTTGAGTAAATAGTCGTTCTTATTCTTATAGTTATCGCCCAACTATAAACAAACATAATAAAATACATTTTAGATTCCAAATGAAATAGATTACAGGAAAATCGATTTTTATAAAACTTTATAAAAAAAGAATAATCTTACTCATAATTATTTCTATCAAATATTTAAAAAATATAAGCTATTTGATTTTCATCAGACCAACGCTGTTGTTTGGTGGTTAACCTTATGAATCAATATGAAATTTATAAATTAGAGCTCTATGTCAGTATCTATGTTGAAGCAACTTTTTTTTTTAATTTTAGAGCAATTTGCATATTTAAATAACTTTTGAATTTGAATATTTTCAGCGTTTAAATATTAAATTATAGAAAAAAGTCGACAATATAACAAAGATTTACTCATTTATAAATTGTATACCTTATTCATATTTTTTGATGTGAAGATAAACAATGAATGATATATAGCATTTTTGTATAATAAGCTTATTGATGTTTAGTGATTTTAACATTTTCTTGAAAGTATTAGCTGCCCAATATGAGGCTCAAGGGTTAGGTATACTTAAACACCGTTTCCTTTTTTGGTATTTTGAAAGAACTGCCAGGATGTTTAAAACAATCTCAAACATTGACCCAAAGTTCAATTTTAGTTCCAAAAAAATGTAAATTTGGTATAGAGACAACAAATCAATGTTTAGTGACCTATTTAGTAATTATAACTTGAAAATAAAATCTTCAAATACTTACTTTTTTTGTTATTAGCTTCTTGTATATAAAATTAAGCTCTACAGTTATTATGAAAACAATATAGATAAAAACGAAATACTTACTTACTTAAATTATAAAAATTTAAAATTAAGTTAAATTGGTTTTTCTTTTATATTAAGTTGCTGTGTAAATTTAAAGTCAAAAAATAAAATAAATATTTAGAGCCGTAAATTTGCAATTCATTTTCAATAAATCAGTATTTTATAAAGTAAAAACAATGTCTTTGAACGTTTCTAATTTATTCACATGTACTTAGGCGAAAAGATCCACCGGCAAACAACTCTTCTGGTGGAACTAGTAAACAATCTATCAGTCCCCAAAGGACAACTCCAAATCCAGCCAAAAAACGAAAACCTTCTACTCCAAAAGCTTCAAAGTCGGCACCAATGGTAAGTCATTCTATTTACTAGCAATTTAAAACTTGTGCTATTGTCAGAAAAGATGGAAACTAAGTCTATCATGATACTGATTAACTTTCCAGCTTACCACATCTTCATTTTCATATTTTTCTTCACACATATTACGCCATATATCTTTAGAATTTAACTTCTGTTTTTATATTTCCTTATTTCCTAGAACATTTAATTCAAGTCTTTATATTTTGAAAATATTTATTGTGAAAACTATGAGTAAAGTAAAATAAAAAAAATAATTTTTCAGCCACTTCAATCGAATGAGCCTCATTCTAACAGTGTATTGTCAACAGCTGAAAGCAGTAAAAAAATGGGCGAACCAAAGTCAGGCAACAATTTTGGTCAACACAGTTTAAAAACAGAAATGTTTAATGACACTTTTTCAGTAAAGAGTGAATCAAACAGTATGTATGACATAGACACATCACCTAACAACACTGCTGAGGACATGATCAGTGTCGATAGTATTGGAAAATAATTTACCCAAAAAATTCATTTTTTTGTGAACTTATATTTTAATGTTTAATATTGTACATTACATCTGTAACAACATGTGTATATAGGTTGTATAAAATAAATGTAATTTTAAAATGTAAAGCATTTGAAAAATGTTGTTTTACTTTCAGTCTGTCGACCATTGTAAAATCACAATTATTTATACTCTGTATAAATTGTTCTGACATTACTTAAACTTATACCATAAAATGTAATTTAATACATAAGAACTGTTATGTATATTATGTAAATCTGCAAAACGGTTTCAAAATAGTGTTCAGACTTGACTTGGTGTTACAATCTTATTTGTGTACAATTTCGTACACAAATAATATTATAATCTTAAATTATTGACTTAAAATACTAATATCGCTGGTTATAAATTAGGATTATTTTTATTTTGACTTATGCTAAATTTGACATTTGTTTTCATTTCTTCAGGCACTTTCACAATAATATGATGTTGGCAAGACATTGTGGTTTACATGATTAAGCATTTAGGACGTCTACGGCGACGGTCCTCAGATAATTCTTTAGGATGGTTCCGTATGATGCGCACCACCTGTAGGGGAGAAATAACCAGTTATTAATATATAAACCAAGCTGTTTGATATTAGTCAATTCTATACAGCTATATAGGAGAACAATTTTTAGACAAAATGTGTCCATTGATTGCTGTTTGTTAAAGGTTGACATTTACAAAACTATGTTTTAGAATATAATGCTGTTTGTAATTATTTGTATATTATTATATGCTAAGTTTGAATTAACAGATTGTGTTAAAAATTGTAATCGTAAGATATTTTCTGCTATAAGGAAAAACAAAAAAAAATGTTCAATTAGATTTGATATCCTAAAGTATACATGTAATATCATTTTACTCATGTACATTTCATACTACAGACCGGTTTTAAAAAAATTCTGCACTTCATTTAAAATTAGATCATACTACCACACTAGTTTCAGCATGAAGGTAAATTCACATTTATTTACTGCTTTGATACTATACAAACAATTTTATTTTATTCATTTGCTTCCTAAGTTCCGAACCTTTTAAGTATAGGCGTGCAGCACTGTGCATACAGGGTTTACTAGGTGCACTGTGGTACACCTCGTTGCCTATGACCATTTTTATGACTTTTATTCATTCTGGCCTCTGGGGCTTTGTATAAGCTACAAAATAAATGGAATCGCATATTTTTCCTTTTCAAATTTTCGGGATTTTTGTCAATAATCTACGAATTCTAATAGTTTTTATGAATTAATATTTTGCATTGAATTTTTTTATTGGGAGAGGGGAGTAGGTTAGGTTTGTTAAGGCTCATTTTCTTTGGCACACTTCAAATTCTTGGGCACCATGCAAGCATATGCTTGTATCTATCTTACACTAAATGTAAGACAGTCATTTTTAATTCACTTATAAGTTATAATTTTAAAATGCTAGTAATACAATTTGTTACACAGGTAGTTAGTCCGTCATTTTTGACATAAAACAGACAATTTTATTATTACCCATTCATTCTTGACAACATTGTTGTACATATTGGGAAGGGTGCACCTATGGCCCATGGTAAGACTTTAGATTGAATTCAATTATTTGCACATAAATATAACTACCCCCTCCCGGTTCTTAAAAAAATGGGTTAGGCTCATAATGAAAATAATTCCTACATATATATTATAAGACACGAAAAGTAATGATAAAATAATAATAATAATAACGTAATTGTGTAAACCTCGTGAAAAGCGCCGTCAATATTTTGCGGTGGATCTTTGGCGCTGGTCTCCATGTATGGCAAATTCAATCTTTCAGCCATCGCGCGACCTTCGCTCTCGCTAATCTTGCGCAAGTGCACCAGGTCCACCTTGTTGGCCACCAGAAGTATTGGATATTCGTCTCTGGAAAAGGGTATAATATTTTTGTTTTTACTATTCATTGATGGCCGTCCATTCACGGTCCCACTGTATACACTCACCTGTCTTTGACCCGAAGTATCTGAGTGAAAAAATTAGGAACGTTTTTGAAACTGTTCGGGTCGGTGACCGAATAGACAATCATGAATCCATCTCCTTTTCTCATGTACTGCTCTCGCATCGCGCTGAACTCCTCTTGACCGGCTGTGTCCAATACTATGGACAAAACAAATATGAACATTAATGAAACATTAGTGTTAATCAACCGAGATGAGAAGCGATCGTACGCGGCTTCGAGGTGAATGTGGATCTATCAACATTGTCCTACACCTATACTGACTCACTGGCTACTATGTACATACGTTTTTATGATTTTTATAAATTAAAATGCTAAAATGTTTCGAGTAAGTATACCTATTGGCTATTTGATACTATAGTTTTTATGGAAAAAATCTAATTACCCATAATTTCTTATTTTCACATTTCTCTTTGAAAGCATGTATCAAGTAGTGGGTATTTAAATGTTCAACAATATATTGTGGTAATATGCAGGGTGATTTTGTAACTAGTCGGTAGTCAACCAATTTCTATGAACCTTTTAAAATAATTAGTTTTAAATTGTTGTTATTCGTAACTATTAAACTATGAGTGTAAAAAATACCACATTTCAACGCAGAAAACAATAACAAGGATACATTACAATATTTGTATGATACGTTTAAATTTTAAGATTTATACGAAAATTGTATGATCAATAGTAACTGAGACGAGAGATGGTCACTGGCCTTGACATAAACAAATCTCAAACCAGAATGATTTCAAGTTTTTCTGTAGAAAGCTCCTAGAATGCTTCAGCTATTTCCTTTAAGACTGGGAAAATTATTCCAAAAAAATAAAGTACAGAAACCCACTATGCCACGTATAGTATTAAATTGACTTCAAGCGTCATTGATGAGTAGGTAACTGTACGGATGGGTACAGTTAAAATATCGTCGTAAGTAAGTACTGTAAATAGGTTCAGGGATTAAAGAACTTAAAACTTAAAATTAATTAAAATATTTTGAAAATAACAATATAATTAACGGGCCAATAGTTTCAAGTCGCTACGGTTAACATTTTTTAAATAGTTAGAGGAAAATATCGTTATTTTATTTCATAAGAAATGTACCTTAAAAATTAATTGTATTCGAACATTTTAAATAGATCATAGATACCAGTAACAACAACTTATTATGAACAATAGCTTGTATTTTAAAGTAGTCTTAGGTAGGTATTAACATTTAAAATTGTATATGATTTTATTATTATTATTGTATTTGCAAATTGTCGAGATTATGACAAACTTTCGGAAGCGTATCAAAAACAAATTGAGCCTATGCGTATTTTCGATCATTTAAAATTGCTTTAAGAACAACTTACGGAGCATCTTGTAAGTCGACCAAGCATAGAATATACTACAATGTATTATTGTTACAATATTAAGTATAACATACGATATATAAGTACCTACCTAAATATCGTAAAATAGTATATTGTACATGTTTATACCTATTACTTATATTTTAGTCATTGATGGGTCCCCCGCACGGCGCACGTTAAGACTAATAATAACAACAGGTAAGTATATGTTATATATATATTATTTGATGGTATAGCGTATACTAAAACAACTATCCAAGTACAGTTGGCGCGCGCACACGGCGTATTTTTTATTGCACGGGGACCTATATTGTACTTCGACGACTTGTTTAAGTCGGTCATAACTCATATTATGTACATGTATTATTATACGTCATGTACGATGTATCTATAATTGCTAATGCGTTTTAGTGACATGCGTGCTGTAGACACCCATCGACCTAACAGACGCGGTGCGGCTGCAACACCTAAATACAAATATAAATTATATATATACATAGAAGTGGTAATATAATAATAATAATAATACGCGTGTATGTGATGTAATGGGATTTAAACAATATAAAAATGTGTGCGTGCGCGTGGTTGTGTTTTGTTTTAGTAACGAGTACAGCGTTTCACACTATGTGTGGCTGGCATTTTTTTTTTCATTTTTAAATTCGGTATCATTCGCGTGGCTCGGTCGCCCATTATCCGCACGTTATAATGGCGATGTACCTAAAACTTTTCGTCGGACGTTTGCAGATCATCAATGATTGCGGCTAGCTAGGGGTGAGTAATAATTGGAATTAAGTCTAAATCGTAAATAACACTATAATTTTGTGTCTAAATGACCCCCCCCCCCACACTAAAAAATAGTAAGCAAAACGAACGAAAACTACTTTTCCACTTCTGGTGCCACAAGAAAGCTCTCGCGTATACTCAAATTTTATCCAATCATATATTTAAGAAAATTTTCTGTTCAATATTTTTTTTTTGATTCGGGATGAACCATTTATAAATAGTACTAATAATATGCGAGCTTCCAGTTTATAAATGTGTTATTTTTTCACACTGTCAATTTGTCAAATGAATATCGGTGTTATTTTATTCTGTAGCTAATAAAAAATTAATAGTTGGTTTCCGAAAGAATATGTCTTTATTCGTTACACTAATAATTGATACCTACCTAAATTATAACTTCATTATCGTTGAAAACTTGTACCACGGGGTTGTTACAGTTACGTTGTTACAGTTACATTATTGTTGGATTAAAAATAATGAAATATTAGTACTCGGTTAGTTTGACACATTTTTATCAACAATACAATTTCATTACAAAGTAATCGATGTGCACATAATTACGAACGACATAAATAAAACAGGTATATACTCTCGTTATTATTATTTTCATACATTTTACTGGAATTGACAGGCTTCTGTAATCGATATGCCTATATATATTTTGAGAAGATAGTGAAATACCCTAGGCCATATTGGCAATGATTCATAGATATTGATTTATATACATAGATAGCATAATACGCATAAGCATAACTTGATACAAATTATAAACTACTTTTGTGTATGCCATGTACTACCTACCTTAACCTAATAAATAAGTTCGATTCTCATATCTCAGTACAGTAATATAGTAGTTATTATATAATAATACACTCCACATTATGATAGTAATTACAACCTACTACTTATACCGACTGTAAGCCTATAAAAATACGATATTAATAACAAAATATCGGATTTTGTAATTAATTACAACACAATAAAACCAAAACGTAATTTTATTACTATGTTAGTACCTTCCTGTCGTTGATTTATAAATAATTTTTTTTTTTGAACTAGTGTACATTACATACATGCTATCATTGTCTTATTATATTTTTCACAATTATTTACCGTCGAGCACGCAAAATTCATCGTCGACGCACGTGTGTTGAATATAGCTGTCCTCGATAGTCGGATCGTAATCGGCAACAAACATTTTCTGGAAAAATTGAATGGTGATCGCGCTCTTACCCACACCGCCGTCACCGACCACTACCAGCTTATACGTAGGCAATGGATGGTTGGGGGCCTGGGTTATGGCGCGCCGATGGCGGGTCAACTCTTGTTGGGTCGTGTATGCGAACCTCGACGACAGTTTGTCTAAAATAATAATAATTTGAATAATGTTAATAGGTAATATGACTTATGTACAAGTGGTATAACTAATAAGCAACTAGTTGTATTATCCGACTTCCCCAAGACTAAAATTAATATAATAATATCTTTCTATCGTTTTGCTTTAGTTGAATAATATTCACAATTACGATGATTTTTAACTTTTTAATTCTAGATATATTCTTTATGTTAGACAGATTCAACGAATACCTAAACGTCGACGTAAATTCAATGACTGATATTCGCCTTTAATCTTCATATGTTTCGTGACTTGGTTTTAACATAAAAAATATGTCCAGAGTCATTAATGCAAATCATACAACTAATAAGTGCAACTGTACTAAATTTTTATTTTTTTAGACTGAGTGTAGGCCAAAATTAAAAATTCTCAGTAGTTTTCGAAAAACCAACAAAATATTTGATAATATAAATTTTATTTGTTTGTGTAACTTAAAAATTAATAACCGTAGACATTTGAAATTTTCCGTAAATAGAAAAAATAATATTTTTGAGTTATTTATAGCTTATATTCTGTATATTTTTAAAAATTATGGTCGAAAATTATTTTTTCAGTTTTTACTTAATAAAAAAGCCTGAAAATGTGATGCGAGGACCTCTTTAATATCAGTTTAAAAATTTTCAAGATATACAATATACATAAGTACAATTATTTTTATACGCATTTTCATTTCAAATTTTGAAAAAATAAGTAATTACCACCCTTTTCTAACGAGTTATAAAGAATCTATTAATATAATTGAAATCAGTCTAGTAGTTTTTAAACTTATAGAGAACCAACAAACAAACATTAATTTCTGTATATATAAGAATATGTATAAATTAGTGAGAGTAATAATAATGATACCGATAATTGATAATAATTATATCAGTTATTAACATGAACGGGACGTGCGAGTTGAAACAAAATTCGATTATTATTTATTTTTATAATAAAACACGATGGCGGTTTTTTATCTTTTTTAAGGGTGAATGAGAGGGTTCTGATAGAATTTGGCTGTAATATCTAATATCTATGTATAGAAAATAGACATTTGACACCCGATGGTACTTACCACTAATGGGCGTTTGGGTTTGACATCCGTAGACAAACTTTTAAGACCAGATTAATTTATATATCAATTTTAATATAATAAATCTATGTACTGATCAGAAATTGATACAAAATATAAATTACACGTAAAACACGTCATACCACAGCTCGTTCTCGAGTTACCCAAATATCATAGCAAAAAACATACTTACAAATTTACATAGGAACTTTTGTAGAATTTCAAAAATTATATCTGATAAAAATCTGTACCAACTGTCAAATAATAATTGTTGGTCACAGAAACATTAAACAAGGAAATTGAAGTATTATAATGTGATACATTATTATAATTTTAATCGATATCAATGAATAATTTTTAGTCAAAATGAAGCAGAAACATTGAATTTTTTAAAAAGCTATATATCTTGCAGTAAATAACTTAATAAAAATTTGTACACTTATATTATGTAGTATAAGAATGTTATAGATAAAAATGAATATATAAACCTACAGAAAATATGTTCTTTAATATTTCAATTTGTTACAATTATTATTGCTTTGTCATCAGTAAATTATTCACTTGCAGTAAATACCATCGGCAGCAAATATCATTATATAGTTGACTATATAGGTACACCTACTTAAATAAAAATTATGTGAAACTCAAAATTGCCCCTCTTCTTTCTATTTTTTACCACTTTGAAATATTGCCAAAATAACAAAAATATCATTAAGCTAGTTAATATATTACATTATGAAGATACGTTTGACTCTTGTCTGTAATGATTATGACTATGTTTACGGACGTAGGATAATTTAAGTAGGACCTTACCATTACTTATATAGAAACTCTGTTTATGGTTTACATTGTGTGAGTTATTTTTATTCAAAGTGCTATAAATTTAAGCGAAAACGGTTAAAATAAAGGTTACTTCTTATATAAGCTACCATTATAATGTTAACAATAATGAAAAAAAAGTTTGTAATTTTATCATGAGGATAAAATCTACACCACAGTCTGACACTTTTTATTTCCAGCTGATTATATTCAGATAAATCATAAATGAAATCAATAGAACTCTTGTTTATAATTTAAACAGTATTATTTCTATCTAATCGAATATTTGTTTGTTTCTTTATTACCAATAATTGATGGGTATCTAATGTTCTTTTGGTTTTACATCTGCATAATATCTACTTTAAATTAAATAGCGATTGAGTTTTATGTACTTTCTTTCAACACCTATACTAGTAAATTTAGGTAAAGAATTTGTAGTTATCTAGTGTCTTGTAAATTATTAGCAAACTTGAACATTAGTAAAATATATTAATTTATTTCCTACAATCTGGTTTTTGAACCAAAAAGTTTTTGTTTTCTAATATTTCTACTATTTAAAGCATAAAATCCAAAGTAAAAGTTAATAATGGTAGTCAAATATATTATTGTCTATTGTTTAGTTAGTATTCAATTACCTTGTATAGTACTGACAGTATCGTATAACAATATTAAAAAAACATGGTTTGGTAATAGTTATTTTTCTTTCATATATTAATCAAAAAGTAAAAAGAATGAGAAAATGTACTGTTGCTAAACAACTAAAAATTCAATATAACTTTCAAAAGATAAATTTAGATGGATAAAAAAGACAAAACAAAGTACACAATCTTTTTCCTTTGAAATGTATGACTATACTAAAAAACTATGAATAAACGGTAAATTTATTGAATTGAAAGATCAATGAATTATTACTTATAATGTAAAAAACTCAAGTATATAAATAAATAAAAGGATTCGATACATTTAATAAATTATATATTTTGTCATAGTGACACAAGATTATAATACTCTTATCAGATTTTCTTAAAAAGTAAAGTTCAATTTCGGATTTACGATATCACTTCATTTATGACGATTATCCTATTTTCGTCAGAAATAGAAACACTTAGATTCCGAGCTAGTTTGTACACTCGAGCAGTATAAGGTACTCTTCATTATTTATTAAATATACGTCTATGCTTACCAGCAGCCGGATCCGATCTACGTGATCGAACTGGCAAACGTCATTGCCATGGCCTGGGCTGGGTCGACGGCGATCGAGCTGCGGATGGACCACAAGTTACGGGGCAAGCGGACAATTTCAACTCCTCAGGAATTTAGAAAATATCCTAACGCATTTCGTCAAGATAAGCTTGGATGTCGGGTCGTCGCACGCGGCACAATACACGGACCACACGTCGTGACGTCGTCTGAGTTTCGGCGATATAATGGTAATAGTAATAGTAATAATAATAATATTGCGAATACAACGGTAGACAGGCGTAAAACAAAAATCGAATAAAACAAAATAATAATATATTTATATATATATGCGCTTGCGTGTTTTCCCCGTTATCAGTTGCGCCTCCTGGAGTGCCTGGACCGATTGATAAGGTGCGGTAGCGAGAGAACGATGCGGTGCGCATGCGTGACGACCAAAAATCAAATTTCCATAGACTCCGCCACTGAGATAATCTGGATAGATAACAGAGTCATTGAGTCATTCCAACAGGCGGTATTGAGATAACGTTTCGCGGTTCCCAAACGAAAAACACGTCCTACCATAATCTTTTCTGTTTTTCAAACACGATATTACATAATAATACTGACGTTTTTGCGTTTTGCGAGTTTAATTATTATTTATACAACTCATCTGGCACGGCAAACGCTCAAGTACGACTCTCGACAAATGCGTTTTCCAAGGCCCGACGACAACGTACGATGACCGCAGTTGTACCCGCCGCTGCCGAAACCGCTTCCGCCTCCACCGTCGTTGCCGTTGCCTCCAACGGCAAGGGACACATCTTGCACGACGGCCCTGCGTATTCGTTGGCGCTCAACAAGGAGCACACTCACGTAGTCGTTGCCGGCAGAAATGGTAACTCGTTTTTTTCTTTTGATTTGCCTTTTTTGGTTGACGATACTTTTTTCCTCGTTGTTGTGTCTAGTACATTAACCATCGTTTTATTTCCAGTTTTCAAGGTGTTTCTCATCGAACAGGGAGGCTTTAAAGAATGTGTCAACTTGCGCTGTGGGAAAACATCGAGTGTACAGAGTTCGTCGAGCATGGATGTAGCTTGGAACCCGGCAGACGGTAAGACTGGCAATGCCCTTTTTTATTTATTTATGACATGATAATCATGAGATTCAAAAGTTGTGAGAGCCATATCCATAAAATATAATTTATCACTCAATTAAATAGTATGTATATTTAAAATTATAGAATATTACTACCTGATTTTTACTTGGTACCAACATTTTTTCATTTTGTCATCTAAAAATAAGGTTATAGTCATATAGAGAGTAATTCACTTGACCAATTCTATTGATTTTTATAATTCAGTAAAAATTAAGATAATTGTATCTCTCATACCTGGAAATATGTGGATTGATAGTCACCCACGGATTCAAAATCTTAACAAAAATCCTCCTTTCCCTACATATTTGGTATCATTAACCTTTAGTTCTCATTTTAAAAATATGGAGAAAAAATCATTTTTCAACTGTATATACATAAAATTAAATTATATCTTGGTCTACTGAAACCGTAAATTCTACAACTTCCAAATTTGAATAATATTCTGTTCTATTTGCAATGTACCATCAATGTGCAGTAGAAATAATTTTATTGTTATTGTTTTCAATTTTGGCTTATTTTATTTCTGCCTGTAGATAACGTTTTGGCAACAGCTACTACAGGTGGTGCGGTAGTTACGTGGAACTTGAATCGATCATCTAGGAATAAACAAGACCACATTTTTTATGACCACCGGAGAACTGTTAACAAAGTTACATTTCATTGTGTTGAACCCAATCTGTTGATGTCTGGCTCTCAAGATGGCACAATAAAATGTTTTGATTTGAGACTTAAAGAAGCTCCTAAAACTTATTCCAGGTAATTTTATTATTTGGTTATATTAAGTTTAATCCTTATACTGTATCAAATTGATTATTTTATTTCAGCGATTCAGAGAGTATTAGAGATGTTCAGTTTAGTCCCCATAACAATTATGTATTTGCTGCAGCTTCGGAAAATGGCAGTATCCAAATATGGGATACAAGAAAGGCTGAAAAGTGTCTGAATAAGTTTTCTGCTCATAATGGACCAGTATTTTCTTGTGATTGGCATTCGGAACTTCAATTTCTAGCAACTGCCAGTCGTGACAAGTCTATTAAAGTAACTTATTTGGCTTAACCTGTATTTATCATGATAAATAAAATAAAATTCTACATTGTTATAGGTTTGGAATGTTACAAATAAACCTATTGCTGAATACACAATTTGCACTATTGCCCCAGTCGGACGAGTTAAGTGGCGGCCTTATCGTAGATATCACTTGGCGTCTAGTGCTTTAGTTCTAGATTCTGCCATTAATGTTTGGGATGTGCGCAGGCCTTACATTCCTTATGCATCATTTGCTAAACATACAGATGTAGCAACTTGTATTGCTTGGAAAGGAGATCCTTTTGTACTCTTATCCACAAATCGAGTAATATATTATTTGACACTTATGAAAACGCAATTTATTTATATTAAATATAAATTGTAATATTAGGATAGTACTTTGCATCAAAATTTCATAAGTGAAGCAGACTTGCCCTTAGAGAGTGCAAACCAACAAGGAATGGCTATTAATAGAGATGGTGATCTTGTATTTTGTTGTCCGGTTAATTTAAACAAAGTTGAAATTCAAAAGTCTAAAGAAAGTTCTAGGTAATATATTTGTTCGGGTTAAAATGTAATTGATTTTGATCATGTTGTAAACAATGTATTTTTATAGAAAGACTTCAACTACAACTAGCGGCGAGGAAGAATTAAACACATCAAGTGAGATGAATGTATTCCGTGATCCAAAAATTATCATGTGTTTATCGGATGAAACGGAATGTATCCAAACGTGTGCTATCCAATATAAACTTATAGGAAGGTCAATAGGAGAACTCTGTGACCACAATGCTGGCGTTGCTTCCAGTGTTGGAAGAACAACTGTAAATTTTTTTTTAGTAATTATTAATATCAAACAGCTCTAAAAGGATATTAACCATTTAGGTATTTTTGTTTTGGAATGTCTTACGAATACTGTATGATCATCGTGTGTCTCTAATGGCTCTCAAAGAGGATATTATGAGTAGCTCAAACATTGAAAGCAGCTTTGATGGGGACAACCAGATTGGTTCTCTCAGTGATGAAGATGGTTTCAGAGGAGATAAACCTTACCAGTTGGGAGATTTCTATTTTGGCAATGCAGAAATTGATCCTTTAGATGCTGAACATGACCAATTTGACTTCATAGGCTTACAAATGGATAGCAAAACTGTAGAAGAGGATAACGATTGGGAAGTACCTGTAGAATCGATAACTTTAAGACATGAAATCATACATGAGCCAATCGTTAACGATCCCTACATTCCTAACTCAGCGCCTTTGGCAAAAAAATTAAGTAAGAATTAAATACCAGTGGTTTTGAATTGGCACTGAGCATTAAAATTTTACAGATAACCGCATAACTTCTGCACCACTATTGCGAATAACATCTCCAGCTAAATTTGACATGTGGAATCCGTCAGAAATTGTTGCCAAAGCTCTTCGCCACCATGTTGATGAAGGTGATGTACAAACAGCGGTCTGCGCATTAATTGTTTTGAGTGATGAAATTAGAAGTGAACTAACCCATCCCAGACATCCCTGGCGTCTTTTACATGGTGAAATAGAATGTTGGTGGTTAAATTATCTCGAATTACTAAAAAAATTCAAATTGTGGTCCTGTGCTACAACAGTAAGTTAATACAATTAAAATTTATGTTTTGCACTGAACAAAAGCAATAAGTGTTTTATTTTGTATTAAAATTAGGTGATCCAACTCTCACGCATTCGTAGCATATTGCAATTGCACCGTACTTCCACTTCAATTAATTTGACCTGTGGATGGTGTTATAAAGGTTTGACACGAAACAGCCGACGCTGTTACAACTGTCAGCATTCTGAATGTGCTAGGTGCGCATTATGTCAAAGGATCGTCCGTGGAATGTATACATGGTGTAGGGGATGTGCACACGGTGGTCACATTGGACACATGAAACAATGGTTTATGGAGAATAAGTTCTGTCCTACCGGGTGTGGACACATGTGTGAATATTGATCTCAATACAATGTAAGTGTTAAAGTTTTTTCTGTTTTTTTTTTCAATATTTTAAATGTGTTGTCTAGAACAATATAAATTTATATTATACGTTAAACATATATTAGTCATATTATGTTCTCTGAGAAGTAGGTAAAAAAAAACAACTCTGTACTTTAAAATGATATAATAAAATTGTATAAAAATAATACATAAAATAAATATATGTGATTGGATTTCAAATGTTATATTAAGCATTAAGCAATAATATATATATAATATATACATACACATGCAATGTGTTCGAGAAGTTTGGAAATTTCTTTAATAATTAACCCGTAATAAATATTTCTAGTCATTTGGAACACATTGGATATAATATAATATAATATGTATATATTAAAGATTAGGAAAGAAGAATCTTAATGTCTGAGAAAAAAAAAGATAATACACATCGTACTATTTAATCATATAAAATTAAAATCCTTGATATATATTTAGGAGAAAGACATTATAATCGAAATCAAAATAATTGATTGCATGTTATTAAAAATTATAATAAATAATATTGAATTAGATTCCCACAATTGTTGAGAGTTAAAGCTTTTACACTATATTACATTTCAACTTCTTTCGTCTACCTTTGTCTTTACCCTTGCCATTTGCTCCCTTCACATCTTCCTTCTTGCGAGCACGGATCTCACGCATCAAGTCAAAAAATACCTGCAATATTAAAAATAAAATTGTTAACCTCAAAATAAAGCATTTAGTTTGGTCTTCATTTGTTTTGTTACTCACCTTATCAACATTATCTCTTGTCTTAGCCGATGTTTCGACATATGGCACTCCCCATTCTTGTGCCCTAGACTGAGCTTCATTCAATGACACTTTTCTTTTATCTGTCAAGTCTCCTTTGTTACCAACTAGTAAAAAGGGGATGTTTTCATCATTTTTCACCCGTAGAATTTGTTCTCTAAAAATCAAGAAGAAATTTATTTTTATCTTATATTGAAATAAACTAGTGCCTGTTTCACTATCATTAGTATAAAAATCCTAGTTTGTTTTACCAACAAATAAGACTGGATATAATTTGCATAATTTTCCTTTTTAAATGTGGGTTAGTTAATGCTTTTGCATATGTGATTAGGTATATAGTTACAATACAGTATAACTAAATCAGTAACTAATTCTATATATTATTTTTATTAAAAAGATATTTTTTTATGCTAAAAAAAATCAAATTAATTAATATTAAAAACGGTATCATAATGCCAACTTGATAAATATTGAATAATATAATTTTTTTTTTTTAATGTATTCAAATTTAATTAACCTAAAGTAGGTGGTTATTACTTGAACAAGTCTTGTCATTTAAGACCTTATCTGTGAATATATTGCAATTATTTAGTTGAGTTTATATTATACTACATATTACCTATTAGCCTCTTTTAGGTTTGATAAATCTATCACATTATTTAATTATATAATTCACATAGGGAAGTGACAAAAAAAAAATGTTAATTTCATAATGCAAAGTAGGTTATTTATCAATTTGAATAATGATTATGTAGGTACTGTAAAGCTAATCATGACTTTATATTGATGATAGGTATTGAATCTTCTCATGTACAATCTAATATATTACGTACCTAAACTCCATTGTTGATTGAAAACTGTCATCTTCTGTAATGGAAAACACACACAAAAATCCTTCACCACTGCGGAAATAATTGTCACGAATGGCAGCATAATCTTCCTGGCCGGCTGTGTCCAGTATATCAATTTGGACTTCTTCACCATCCAAGACTACTTTTTTACGGTACGAATCAGCTTTAGTCGGTTCATAATCTTCAACAAACTATATTGGGGCGTGTCAGCTGAGGTTATCATACTTTTAAATGTTATTTTATATTGATACTTAAATTTGTACTCACCTCATCATACATGAACTGAAGGGTGAGGGCGGATTTACCAACACCACCGCTTCCCACCATTATAACTTTGTGTAGAGCTGGCTGCTGTGCATTGTTTTTCTTCATGGCTTTTAATAAAGATATGGACTGTTGGTGCTAAAAAAAAACCAGCTTGTATTAGATTTAATTATTGTGCCTGAATGCAATGAGATTCTTGTGGCGGGTCAAGTGAAAACTTCTTAGGGTCACAGCTTTCTCACTAATTACATTCGAAAATAATTATGGGAAAAAAAATATGATATTAAGGTGGTGCTACAGTGGTTTTCACCGAACCGTGTGTAAATGATTTCGTGGTGGGGGAGATGTTCGGATTTTAGATGAACAATTAAATATTAATAAGCAATGATCACCTTGTTGATGGAAAAATAATTATTGTAATGTACCTATTAAACTAACGTTAATGATTAATATTTTTAGTCTAGCAAGGGAATAATGTTAATTGATTTTCGAGAGATAAATATTGTTTACATTTCAAGTGCGTTATCATCGTCGATTGGGGTTGGTTAGTTACCGACGGTGCAAAATCGGCAGTGTGACCATACTGAGAGAATATTTCCCGAAATCAAATAAAGTTCGATTGCTAATGATCGGCTGTGCATAATTTATAGTCATTGAGAAATGCGAGCGTTGTAATAACTAATAACTATTAATGTTTATAATTTATGAACATTGAATTATTTAAACTATCGTACTTTTCAACTGATCAACTTTCTATATTTTATCAAAACTGTAGTCGACCAATGATCCTTTGAAACGTGACAATATTGAATTTCTCCCTATACACATCAGACCCTCCATAGTTGTGAATTTTTGATGTTCGTAGTTTAGGACGTTCCTAAAGTTCCATACAATACTTTTAACTTTTAAATCAACGGTTCTTAATCAAGCGTATATTATTGTATATTGGAAAACAAATTTTCTAAAAAATCATCCTTCAGTTAACAAAATTCGCATTTTTTGATTAACTATGGACAATGAAACCAACTAAATAATGTTACTTATCTAACGATTATAACGATTAAAGTTATGCTAACCCCCCGTCCAAACAATTTTTTTTTAAAACCTATTGCTACCCTTACTGTAATATCGTTATTGTTACCTTCGATCCGACTACTATATCGACGTCACACAATTACACCAGTCATCAGAAAAATAATAGTTTTATATCATACGAATTAAGAATTATAATTTTTTGAGCTGAATAATTAATTTCATTTTATTAAAAAATTAAAGCTATGGCTCGCGTACCTATAAGTAATATATATTTAAAAAATAATTTTAATAATAACAAGCTTTCAAATTAATCATTATTTTTTTCTTCGTAATCACAAAAAACTCGAACATGTTTAATTAAAATATACTAATATAATATGAGTAATTAATAACTGATCATTCTTTATATTGTTTAGGAACATATAATAAGCTCCGTCTGTTTATGTTTAGATACCGTAACGTATACGTACCAACTCAAGTCGATAAAAAAGGTAATCTACGCATAAAGTACAAAATGTCGTAAAAACGCGCACAATTTAGAAGTGGCCCGAGTGGCGAAGCGTCGACGGTCCCGTGCAAATAAATGCGTACGTAAATATAATATAAAATAATAATAATGTACATTGTCGTAACTCGTAACAATTATTACAAACCGCGCTCCGAACTACTCACTTTCAGTGTGCTGGCTTAATCGAACAGATAAACTGTGGCATAATATGGATCGTGTTTGTGTGTGATATATAAGATTTATTATAATATATGTATATATTTTAATATATTTATGTATACTCGGAAGTACACAACGCTTTGTCAAGTATTGCATACAGGGTATAATTCATCGAACATACTCGCCTACCACGACTGTGGCCTTCATAACTTTACCGTGCATTTATTTTTGATATTTTTAATTTTTAGAATTTCGAAATGTCTATAGTATATATGTGTATATATATATATACATGTATGCCTACTTTAAGACGAATTGTACCTACTCTATATAAAAAAATCGTATTACCTATATTTGTATGAAAATACTTTCAGACAATACAGTCAATAAAAATACTACCCAAAAAATTTTAATATAATTCCGTGAGTAAAGGATAATACAATGTGAAGTGTGCGGGGGGGGGGAGGATTGAGCGTGCACGGTGAATCACCATGCGTGTATGTTTTGAGTAGTTTGACTAATGATAATAAACATTTTTATGCGCGTTGACATTAAATGGAATATTTAATGTAAATTATTGTCGATTTTATACAGAGTGATTCACCGTGTGTGCTAGACCCTTTTTTCTTCAACAATGTAGTTATTTAAAATTTTATTTTTGACATTTTGAAGTATTTACTTTAAGACCATATTTTGTCATTTTTTGTACTACTTAGGAAGTGTACTGTGGTGATACAAGGTTCTGTTTTTCAAATGAAAATCCTCTTTTTGACTGTAAATCATTAAGTGGATATTTTTTTTCAAAAATGTTGATGTAGCTAATTTAAAATTTGAACATGTTATTTTTTCGTTTTATAATGTGTTTTTAGTATTAAGAATTTTCAGTCATTATAAAAGGTTTTGCAAAAATATAAAATAGGTTAAATTAATATTGGATCTAATATTACACTTGAACCTTTTTTATAAATTACGAATACTGATAGATTTGTATGGACTACTAAAATGTTCAAATTACTGCAAATATTTGTTTCGTTTGTTCAATATTAAAATGAGCTATTCAGTCATTTTAATCATCGAACTGTGGGAGTTGTCGATCATGATGATTGTCTTTAAATTTTTTTTTTACCATTTTAATAGGAATTATCATTTTTTGTGATTTCTTATTATCACAATAATTCAATGATTAGTTAGTTTATTTCTCGTCACCGTGGTTGTAATATTTATAAACGATGACATTATGCCATGTAAAAATGAACGGTTTATTATTAATTGTTCTTTATTATAAGATATAATTAATGTATTAATGTTATTGGTGGTAGTTGGTCAATTGTCGGACCACAGTAATTATGTATTTGCAAGAGTTAAAAATTATAAAATACAAAATACTGATTCCGCATATCAGATTTATAACACAATATTGCTTCAATATTGCAATATATTTTATTGCATTTGTCTCAAATTAGTCGTTTTGCATAAATCAACAGATGTGAATGCACACCCAGTCCCATAGAAAAGAGATTAAAACCCAGCACCCAAATCCTACAACATAATATGATGAGCATAGTGTCATGTTATCCTTCAGCCTTCCATACATATCGAGTTTACCTTTACTACTGTTATGTAAAGTATAACTCGTGGTATAAGTTTATATTATTTTTATCTTTATTGTATGTTATGTACTAATAGGTACATAAGATAGACGATAGTAATAGATTGGTAAAAACCCGCTTGTAAAAAATGTTAGGCAAACAGTGCCAAATATTCTCAAAATATGATATGCTTCCCTGCATGCAGGAAGTACATGCATACCTATTTTACTAATATTTATGCTTTCAACATACGGTCATGCGCTATAAACTGTAGAGTTTATTGGTAGATATACTTATATACCGATTTACAACCCATTATAATTGTTACGCCTAAACACTAACTCATTACAATTTACACTTACAAAACTGAACGAGTCGATCACTGAATCGTATAGCATTGTATCATATATAGTTGAATAGATTTCTGATACACTTATATAATATATATAGATATATTATAATGTTACGAAATTTATGTAAACACGAATTTCTATGTATATTGTAAAACATTCTACAATTCATTTATATAATGCAATGTATTTATACCTTTACTGAAAACTGAAAGCTTATTTTCAATTAAGTGGGAATAATAATATGATCATAAGGTTTTTTACAAACACAGCTAATGTTTCAATCCTATCAAATTGTATACAATTGTGTGTGAGAGGAAGTGGCAAATCGTCCATGAGAGAAAATGTAGAAACTTGATGTGTGTTTGGCAAAGTATTTATACTTTATAGTATTGTTAACAGTATTGTTTCATTATTAAATGAGAATACAACAACAGTACAACGTGTAAATGCGATGACTAGCAGACTAGACCGGTGCCGTATATACAGATGGTCCATCGTGGTGAGTGCAGTTCAACCCAGGGTGGTCTAAACTAATGTTTAGAAATCTAAAATGAATACAATTTAAAAAATACTTTGATATCTATAATATTATATAATTTTTTTAAGTAAACCGTCCAATTGAAAATATCAGTGAACCCCACAGGACTTGACCCTCAGAGGAGGTACACACTACCCCTAATCCTAGCCAGCTCGGGCCTCGGGATGATGGTACATTAATATATAATTATATAAATAATAAATATAGGCCTCTATATTTTTCCGGAAGTGCTCTTGATTTTTTGACAAGAAGTATGTTTCTCGCTATAGTTATACTGCGGTCAAGTTTGAAGATACCTAGAATTAATTTTCTCTATTATAGGTAGTCAATTTACATTTTATTTTAATGTATAACTTAATAAATAATTTAGATAAGTAATTGCTGTATATAATTAATCTTGTTTATTGCAACCTGTTTGACTTCTTATTGGAACTATATATCAATATCACTATACCAGGTTCAGAAGGTTCATAACTCTGAAGTATTGATGTAACTGTGCGTATACTTTTTATGACATAAATGCATAATATTATAATATAATTTTATTCCTACCTATTGTAGCATACAGAGTAATTCATTTAACTGCCATCTAAACAACAATTTCCGGTTTTAATTTTTTGTGATATATTTAGAGAAATGTTTTTTTCAAAAAAATTAAAATGTTTGATATTGAAATAGTCTCACTTATGTTAATTATATTTTATTCCTAAGCATAAGCAATGTTTTTCTATAGAAATCGCATTGGCCTACCGTGAGAATTTTTAAGAAGCACGGCATATTTATTTTATTCATTGACCTAATATTATATAATAGTATATAACTAATGTATATGAGATCAATGAAGGTATTTAAACTACCTAATAGAACGCTGCTATAAATGAATCATTATGAATATGTTTTATTATGTTTATTTGTTTATCTAATATTATTACCTCCAATTAATGTTATCAAAGAAGATACTCTTATATTATAATGGTTTCATATTAGAAATGAGTCATTGCTACGATAATTCATACCAATGTAGAAATAGACAAACAGGATGTCCGGATACAGTATAATATTATAATATGACTCATTTCGTACAGTCATATTTATGTTGTATACTTGTAAGAACATCATATTCGTTTGTATAGTTCTTATAAATCCATGTGTGATGTGTATATATTACTAATGTATTCTATTTATATACAGATATATTAGGATTGTGTATAGAGTTATTGTAATAATAATTATTCGAAAGCAAGCCAATAAGGCGTTGCATCGTATTATGTATACAGCGCGGGCGTAACTCCCTTTTTAACCTAAATTGCTGAAAATGTTGATGTATCTCAATTAAAATTCGTATAAGTAGATTTTGAGTTGATGAACTTTGTAAGAATTGCTAAGAAATGAGAATAATAGGTCTATGACATTGGATTTGTGTGATATGGGGGCTTATGGTTATTTGAGATTACTGATTAATATTTGTCTATAATAATTTGTAAAATGGCCTGTAATAAATACTATGGATCCAATATTACGTAAATTTTCTATTCTGTAAAATCACTTTTAACTTTTAAGGACTATTATCCTAGTACAAACGTTTTAATAACTGAGAAACTCCTTGTTCAAATTAGAAAGGTACATCGACATTTTCAAAAAAACATTCACTAAATAATGTATAGTAAACGGGGGGGGGGGTCCCATTTGAAAAATAGAAGTGGAAAAATGAGGTTAAGTAGGCTTTGAGAATTTCCATTTATATAAATATAGGTATAATAATATTTATTCAAAACGCGCATTACACCATGTTACATATTGTACTTAAATTCCTAACAAAATGTAGCATGTTACCAGATATTTTCCATTGCACTGTACTCCAAAACACATCTATGATACCTTAATTTTCCTTGTAGAGGAAAAATATCTAGTAGCATGCTTATTGTATTTATATAATTTATATGAATGACATTTTTGATAAGGTACTTTATAAAATATATGATAATAATCATGCGGCACACGTTGATACAGTATGTATAGCTGGTCAATTAGCCGAAGTAGTCTCATTTCATCACTTTCTCTGTGTATTGCGTACCTACAGGGTATGTAAATATGTATTAATAATGTAATATGTACCAAAAATATTAAATTTTATTTTGTTTTAATATTCGTTAAATTTATCTGTGTATTACTAAGTGTCTTGTTTATGTAAGACCTCGTTTTGTAGGTACGAATATTTCACTGATCCACGCAGTATCAGATATTATATAAATATAAGCTACGTTTTAATTACTAACTCACTACAAATCGCCATGTAAAATAAATGGTGACGTCGCCGGCCAATAATTAGTACCTAGGAATTATTTTTGACATTTATCGTATGTAAAATATGTAGATGAGTATATCGAATCCACACCATCTATATATTATGCTAAATATAGTGGCCAACGAATATGCTATTAACTAATAGCTGCTATGTGAGACGCAAGAATTATAATTCAAATAATATATTAAAATTATGACTACATTATTGTCATTATTTAATAACTATAAGAAATTATTTTAATAAGGCTAATAACAATTATTTTTGCGTAGAATGTGTGCCTAATAGGTAACTATAATATTAATTATTATCGATATAAAACAACGAAACAGAACATTATATTATATTATATTGTAGGAGCAAAGAGTTTCATTAAAAAAAAAGTAATTGTTATTTTATTTTTGTTTTAGTATTATAAGTAATCTGATGATAATACTGAAGCCTGAAGACTGAAGAATGTTGTCGACTTCAACTACTCATTTGATCCATATTAAAATATGAAGAAATGCGACGGATTCAAAAGCATATTTTAAAGGGGCAGCGGTTGCCTTATTGTTTTATTAGGCTCTACAACACTACAAACCCACACGTCCTATTTTCCCGTCATGAATTGTTTTTCAAACCATACGATTTCCTACTGAAAAACAATCAACTATTTTATTACTACCGTCTACCATCACAATAGTTAGTAAAAATGTGACTAAAATGATATTGAATATTAATAATACACATTATTATAGGATATTTAATCAATGCTGATGTATTTTCTTGCATTATCTTACTCGTACATTTTAATTTTACGGTGAAAAATATTTCCAGTACAGGTAGCAATATATATTTTGACTGTGTATACGAGATTTCCTAAGTCTACTTTTAATACTGCAGGAAAACTATTTGTTTTTTTTAACGTTTTACTATACATATTCGTTATGTATTTAAGATAAATTGATTTTATATTTTGTTAATAATTCTATTTGGTTTTTGGATAGCGTATATATTATTAAGTATTATATATAAATGTGTTATGTCTTATATGTATGTGCAGTATCGAGTAACTATATATATTATACTATTATCAATATAACAATTAACTAAAAAGAAATTTACCATAATAAATATTAGATACCTAAGATACGTTAATTATTATTTATTAATTCCTGAGCTATTTTAATACTAATAGCCATATAAAAAAGTTATTTATTCGTTTTATTTCTAATGTATGTCGTATCTACTATAATATGATAATTGTTTTAATTATTTCTGGAAAATTAAAATGTTATACGCATTCATAAACATATGATTGTGTGTGTGTGGGGGGGGGGGGAGTATATGATCCCGGGTGGCCTAGCCATCCTAGACAAGTAAACAACCTACGCACGTAGCCACGTAAATGCTATGCATTTAAATATTGACTACGACAGCGAAAAGAAATTGTGGAATATTAAATCAACATAATGTGCGTATTATAATTTGTGGCCATCTCGTTGAGGTTGGACCTCGCCCGCCGTATGATCATAGTCATTATCAGCGAGAAAGTTCGCCAGCGACTGCAGTAGTATAATATGTAGGTGATCAGTACTCTTAGCTTGCACATACCACTACTATAGATTATTGTGTTTTAACTGATGTTTTTTTTTTTTTTATTATTATTATTCGTTTTGTTTCAATTATTATTTATTTGTGTTTCTGCAGATAAGGCTACTTTGAATAACATAAGTAATATTCTAAAAGACAGAAATAATACAAATTTTTATGTTTAATTAATATTTATTGCTAACTGTGTGCTACTTTTGCATTACTTTTTTCCTATTTTTCATTTTCATCTCAATAGTTTAACCTTCTTAAAAAACAATTATATTTTGAAATTTTTTTTTTTTGATCCTTAAGCCCGGAAACTTTGGCCATTAGCTGTTTGTAGGGTAATTGTGATAATTTTAAAGGTAGCTAGTGGTAGGGTTTGGTATGGTAGGGTTTTAACACGTGTGTATCTATATTTTTATTGGTTTGATTTTCAAGGCGTTATCATAATATTAATAAATAAATAATACTATATTGGTGATGGTTATTTTACACTTATATTAATAAGATGCATACTCATGTCCATAATTGTTATGTGATATTTGTTTTTTGGTTCTTATAATCTGCAAAGGAGAGCTTTCAGATAAACTAGAATGACAGTGACTAACGTTAATGATTCAATTAAATTAACTTGTCGTAGGGAGTGAGTGAGACAGTGAGTGACAAACAAATTGACCTGTGATTCTTATGATCGAATGCAGTGCCGGCGCTAGGTATTGCGGGGCTCTGGAAAAGATATTAGCCATTAGGTACCCCAGAGGAAGGTAAAATTCTAGCTTTTTTTAAATCAGGATTTAAAAAAAAATATATTATTTTTCTTCGAAATTTAAACATTAAAAATAATAATATTAGGGTATTCTTATCCTTTTTTTTTATTATAATGTGTTAACACAAAATTATTTACAAAGAATAAAATAATAACTAATTAGGTACATACAACAACAATATTATATAATGGAAGTAAGAACTATGAATTTTAGATACCTAATCAAATAAATATTTTGAGAATATAGCCCTTGCTCCTTCTATAATAGTGATAATACTACCATACGGACATACGGCAATACGCGGAAAGCCTTTCCAAATAAAGAACAAAGAAAACAATAACTTTAGTTTGGCTTACGTATAAACCGACTGCCTAAAGCTGCTATCTAGTGGTTATATGTAGTAGAAACGAGTTTATACATATAACCACTAAACATGTAATAGGTAGTCTCAATGTTTCATACGTCGTTATTAGTTTTTTAAATTTTTTTTTAAGGTTTCAAAAAATAATTAGAAAATTCAACACATTTTATAGATACAAATTATATTTATTGTTTATTATGAAGAAACTAATTTTGACAGTTTTTTTTAAATTTTATTTTGTTTTTTCATTTCGTGGTTTTGGGCATTTGCGTATTGCCTTATACGCATTGTTATATAATGTACATAAATATCAGTCATAACTTGACTCTTGTGCTCTGCACATCCCCATTGTAATTTAAAATTAATATTTTGGAGAAATTCATTAATTGTAGTTATTATCAAATACATTGATAGAATCTGCATGTGTCTTAAAACAAGATTCTAACTCCTTAATATATAAAAATATTGGGCGACTAGGGCGTGTTAAAAATCCTCTAGTTTTCATATTTAGTAACTCTGCTTCTGGGTCTGGTAGTATTCCATATATTTAGGTAGTATTTCATTTTATAAAATTCTATACCGGTTGTCATTGATAAACTAAACAACTGAAAATATCAAAAATGTTTTATATTTAAATATCATATCAAAAGTACTATAAATTAGATTTAATAATAGAAGAGCAAATGGTAATATAGTAATATATTAATATCATTCTCTGGTACTATTTAGTCCCCTTTCGGTTTATACTTTTTTAGTGACAAAATTCATACGGCACTTTTAAGAACTAACTAATATTAGTAATTACTTGTAGCTGAATATTTTTCGCATTTTTCGCATATAGTGGAAACCCGCCTTAATATTCGAATAGTTATTGAATAGTATATCAATTATTCAATAGTTTTGATTTATTCCTCACGTATTATATTATTCGATAGTTTTGATTATTCAGTCTTGTATAATATTATTTAAATTATTATTCGATAGTCAATACGAATAATCGAATAATATCCGATAGTACAATTTATTCAGTGGCCATCACTAAATTGTATACCCAATTACTTTTTGGTCTACCACAGAACCACCATGGCATCTATTCTATGATGGCATTCAAAACCTTGTGAATTTATTGACCAATAGAAAACGCCACCATGCAGTGAGATTGATCGTAAGCACGTCTTCGTGGCCGTCTCTTCCCTAAACATTTATATCATATTACGTCGTCACGCAACCGTCGCAACCATTTACCATACTATCTTTAATCGTGGTTCCGAGAGATTTTTTCCACAAAAATTTGTCCTGAAAGACCTTAGTTCCGCAATGTCCCCTAATTTTACTATTTATTCTTGCTGTGACCACGGTTGAAGATAGAATCAATCCAAACTGTAATCACAGAATAACCAGTAACCAGCTGTAACCAAACTGTGTGATAAGTGATAACCTCATAAGTGATAAATGGTGTTTTAAATTTTAATTTTTTGAGATGGTGAATGGTGATCCATGAGACCGGGACTTGAAGCCGTAATTGTTTGATGAACGATGATGATCAAAATATCAAATTCATTATAGAAATATAGAATTCATTTAAAATTCAATTACTACATTTTCTTTGTATTCATAAATTATAAATTAATATTTAGTCGAGTCTGCTACTACGATAATAATTACTATGTTTAGGAGCGTCCATACAGTCTATACTGGACTCAACAAGGTTGAAATTATTTTATTTAACGTTTTATTACTGCTACAACCATTTTTATTAAAAATGTGTTTAAATTAATCTTTTTAGCTCCAGCATTTGAACTGTAATGTACAAAATATGTTAACAATTGGTTGTGTGGGTCAAATACGATGTAGAAGTAACAAGCATTACAAACCGGAGTTCAAAAAGTTGAGAAGCCAAAAAGTAATTATAAATTATATATTGTTATGTAAACAAGATTTTAAAATCAAGATTTAAGTTTTTTTTATCTCATATCTTACTAGTAAGTTTGATAAAAATAGTAATGACTATTTTCTGTTATGATTTACATTTCTATTCACATTTTTACTATACCAAATTGTACATGTTCTATGCAGTTGAAATACAAAAAACAACAAACTTATAATCTATTATTGTGTTATATAGGTTTTAAAAGTGGAATTACCTGATTATGAAAATGAAAAATTAGATTCTGAGGATTACAGCCCAGAAAGGTTACGTACCAGATACAAAGAAAAAGGTATACAACCTACAAGACCGTGGATTGAGCGTACCACATTTATTAACAATACTGGTTCTATCATTGAACCTTATGTTCCACCAGAAGGAGATGGAAAAATTTCACCAATCAGTACAGCAGTTAAGTCTCAAATGCTTCACGTTAATAACACCGTAATAACATATTTATTATTTTATTTAGGGTGCTAAACAAAAAATTGAATTATTGAAAAAGAAAAAAGAAACTTGGCAAGCCATTCGTAAAATAAGACAGAATGAGGAAGAATTTGAATTATATCCTGAATTTATAACAAAAGCACAAGATATTTATCTTAAAGCCCACACAACTATGGTCAAGTTTGTACCTACTATTTTATCAAAGACATATATATATATATTATGATTAAAATTCATATCAAATTTGAATGTTTTCAATATTTTTTAGCAAAGACAAGCAAAACCTTCTTCAATACGTTACAGAAAAAGCCTATGTGGTAAGTAGAGAACAAATTGTAGTTTCCAAACTTATAACATATTGTTTGTATTAAAGGAAATGCTGCACAATATAGACAATAAAACATTACGTTGGTCATTCATAAAATCAATTGAACCACCTCGTGTAGTTCATGCCAGAGTAACAGATATTATAACTCAAGACAATTTATTTGCACAGTTAACTGTACGCTTTCACACAAAACAGGTATATATTTAAATATGTCAAGTCATCATTTAAATGTATTAATTACAAACCAACAGGCTTAATAATACTTATTTTTTTATTTTTTAGACATTATCAGTTTTTGACCGTTTTGGACGCTTAATTTTTGGTAGTGATGTGGTTGCTAAAGACGTCTTAGAATATGTAGTATTTGAAAAACACATTGTAAATCAATATGGAATGTGGCGGATACACGGAAAAATTATTCCCGATTGGATGCCTCCAAAAGAACCAGCTACAGTAACAAATATATTAAATATTGAAGCTGAGACAGAAACTGCCTTAGAAGCTCAGCCAGATGAAGCAAAATCTAAAATTGTACTTCCAGATGCATAATGAATTATAAGCATCAAATGTAAAAATA